GCACTCAGACTCGTTATAATTCAATTGTCAAAAGCTAAAAACAAGGAGAGCATCTTAAAAGTATCAAGAGAAAATCAATGTGTTACATACAAGGGAACCCCCATAAAATTACTAACAAATTCTTCAGCAGAAACTGCAGGTCAGAAGGGAATGGGATAATATATGAAAGCACTGAAAGAAAGAAAAAAATACGCCAACCAAGAATATTCTACCTGCAAATGTATCCTTCAGAATTGAAGGAGAGATAGTTTTCCCGGCAAACAAACACTTAAGAAATATATCATCATAAGACCGACCTTACAAGAAATGTTAATATGAGATTTTTAAGCTGGAATGAAAGGATGCTAATTGGTAACAGGAAACTATATAAAAATTAAAAGCTCACTAGTAAAGGTAAATATATAGTTAAATTCAGAATACTCTAATGTTGCAATGGTGGTAAGGAAATCACTTATAAAAGGGGAGCAGATGGAACTAAGACATATGTAAAATATCCATCCGACAGCAGCAGAATACACAATCTTCTGAAAAACACAGGGAACATTTTCTAGAATATATTATATGTTAGGCCATAAGACAAGTTTTAAAATTTTAGGAAGATTGAAATCATATCAAGCATTGTTTCCTATTATAATGGCATAAAACTAGAAATCATTACAAGAAGAACTAAAAATGGTATAAATGTGTGGAGATTAAACATGTTTATGAACAACTAATGAGTCAAAGAAGAATTAAAAAGAGAAATCAAAAAATACCTTAAAGTGAGTGAAAATGGAAACACACTATATCAAAATAAGTGAGATGCAGCAAAAGCAGTTAGATGAGAGAAGTTCACAGTGATTTAAAAAAAAAATCTACATTAAGAAAAAAAGAGCTCATATAAACAAATTTCATAAAGAATTAAAGAAAAAATAAAGCCAAGGTTAGTAGAAGGGGAAATTAACAAAGACAGAGTGGAAATAAGTGAAAAAAAGGACACAAATAAATAAAATTATTAGTGTTTATCTAATAGTAGGTGTCACTACTGATATCACACAAATACAAAGGATCATAGGAAACTACTATGAACAATTATAAGCCAAAGATTTATACAGCTTAGACACTATGGGGAAATTCTTATAAACATACAACCTACCAAGACTGGATAAAAAGAAATAAAAAATCTGAACAGACCAGTTACTAATAAGGAGATTAAGTCAGTAATCAAAAACTTCTCAACAAAGAAAAGTCTAGGATCAGATAGTTTCACTGGTAAATTCTACCAAAAACTCAAAAAAGAATTCTTGCCATCCTCAAACTCTTCCAGAAAATAGAAGAGGAAGAAATGCACCCAAACTGTTTGATTGAGGTCAGCATTACCCTAAAACCAAAAATTTGTATAGAATCACAAAAGACCCCAGATAGCCAAAGCAATCTTGAAAAAGAAGAACAAAGCTGGATGTGTTACACTTCCTTATTTTAAAATATATTACAAAGCTATAATGATGAAAAGGATGGTATTGGCAAAAAATATACACAGATCAATGGAACAGAAGAGAGAGCCCAGAAATAATCCTGACAAAGGAGCCAAGAATATAACAAAAAGGAAAGAATAGTCTCTTCAATAAGTAGTGTTGGGAAAAGTAGACAGCCACAAGCAAAAGAAAAAACTAAACAAAACTGGACCCCTATTTTGCACTGTACACTAAAATCAACTCAAAATGGATTAAGGACTTGAATGTAAGATCTGAAACCCATAAAACTCCTAGAAGAAAACAGGGAGTCAGCTCCTTAATGCTAGTCATGGAAATACTTGTTTGGACCTGACACCAAACACAAAAGCAACAATAGCAAAAATAAACAAGTGGGACCACATCAAAATAAACAGCTTCAACACAGCAAAGGAAACCATCTACAAAAATAAAAGGCAACCTACAGAATGGGAGAAAATATTTTTAAATCATATATCTGATGAGGGATTAATATCTAAAATATATAAAGAATTCATACAGCTCAACAGTAAAAAAAAAAATTAAGAAATTGGCAAAGAAACTGAATAGACAGTTTTCCAAAGGAGATGTACAAATGGCCAATATGTACATGAAAAGGTGCTCAACATCACTAATCATCAGGGAAATACAAATCAAAACTATAATATCACCTCACACTTGTTAGAATGTCTCTTATCAAAAAGACAAGAGATAACAAGTGTTGGTGAGGATGTGGAGAAAAGGGAATCTTTTACACTGTTGGTAGGAATGTAAACTGATGCAGCTACTGTGGAAAACAGTATAGAGGTTCCTCAAAAATTAAAAATAGAACTAACACATTACCCAGAAATCCCATATCCAAAGGGTCTGAAAACGGGATATCAGAGATATCTACACTCCCATGTTCATTGCAGCATATTCACAATATCCAAGACATGGAAACAACCTTAGTGTCCATCAATGAGTGAGAGGATAAAGAAGATATGGGGTACATATGTACATACAACGGAATATTATTCAGCCATGAAAAAGAAGGAAATCCTGCTATTTGCGACAACATAGATAGGTCTTGAGGGCATTATATGGAGTGACATAAACCAGACAGAGAAAGATCAATACTGCATGGTATCACTTATACGTGAAATGTGAAGAAAAAAAAAAAAAGGCCCAACTCATGGAAACAGAGTAGAAAATTTACTGCCAGGGATTCAGTGATGGGGCAAATAGGGAGAGATTGGTAAAAGAGCACAAACTTTCAGCTGTGAGATGAAAACAGGCTGAGGATCAATGCAATACACAGTGACTATAACCCTGTGCTCTATCACTGAAATTTGTTAAAAAAGTAGAACTTAATTATTCTCATACATACAAAAATAAATAAATAAATCGGTTAATTAACTAGATGGGAGACATCCTTCCTTCATATATATATGAAGAATATATATATATATATTCTTCTTTTTAAAATTACTATTATTATTATAAATGTAATATCATCTATATTATATTTTCAGTGTGGGCTATTTTTTAAACAACAGATGGTTTTCTGAATATATAAAAGCTTTTCAAAATATGACTTTGTCAATTTTCCTGAAAAGCTTGACATTCATCTGCAAATTTTTTCAGAAGACTGCTTTTCTTTCATCTTTTATCCTTTTGAAATCAATTACTATTTTTAGTCTGCTTGGTCAGAAAAATAGGCTTTGATTAACAACAGCTATATTCTAATAGTACACACACAAACACACACACATAATTTCTTTTTGCCTTTATAATTTTTTTTTAAACCACCAAGTAACAAGATAGAGTTTGGTCCAAGGATTTTGAAATCATTTAGGTCTTTTAAGCTAAAATAAGGAAGTCAGAGAATGGTTTTGCTACACATGGACATAATTTCCTTCCCTTTATTTCTGTTTCCATTTTATTTTTAAATTCAGAAGATTATTGTCATGAATTTTTTATCCACTGATAATGTATATGAATTTAATTTCATATATTTCAAATATTTATAATTATACAAATGTCATAATAGGAATCCACTGGTAACTATAAAAATATACATTGGAGTTTCACTCTGCTCTGGAACCAATACTGCTACAGCTTCATGAGGGAAAATATAGGCTGATAGTACAATAAACTCAGCAACAACCGACAGTTGGCTCTCAGGGATGTGGCCATTATTATTATTTCTTAATTTTTCTCTTCTTCTAAAATATGTAGAAAGGCAATAATAAATATTGAGGTAAAATTTATAACCACATTACATTTAGATTCCAATATGTGCTTATTATAGATCTGCATCATCTGAGAATGCTAAAGTAGGTAGTGAAGTGCTCAATAAAACCCTTACTTCAAAGGTGGCTGGGAGTTTTTATTTGCCATAGGACTGACCCTAGATATCTAAAGATGCCTGTTAGCCCCATGCTTCTGTATTACCCAGATGCTACCACCTACTTGGGTGCCCTCTATCAAGTTCGGATCACAGCATTGCTGGCTCCTATTCAAAGAACCACGGGTTAATATGTTGATATATGCAAATACATAAAACATTCTCTAAGGCCAGACACATGTTCACTTGGCCTATAACAGATCGGTGAACCCTGAAATGCAAGTACAAAACTGCAGATTTATTTAGCTTAATAAAAAGCATCCTGTGCTTCATAGATAATATTTGAGTTCATCAATTAAAAGAAACCAAATGAGACAATCTCTCTAAATCCATTACTGATTTTATCCGTAAGCCCAAGAAAAAGATGTAACTTCCTCTGGCCTTGATTCACCTACATTGGCTCCTGGATGGACATGTTGGGGCATGAACGAGGTCCCTTTCTAGACTTGTTTCCATAATAACTAGAGTTCTTCTCCCTGAACAAGAACAGCAGCAATCAAGCTTTCCAGGAGCCAGCTTTGAGAGAGTTGACTGAAGGACCAAGGTCACTTCAGCCACTGGATCTTTCTACAGGCTCCTCTCAGGAACAGGATGAGAACTCAATGTGTCTATTGTATTACCTTTCTCCTAAAATATTAAGAATAGAAGTTGAGCAAATAATTGCCATTCAGTAAAAACAATCTGGTATTATCTCTTTAGTCTGCAAAGTCTTAAAAAATAGATTTTTAAGGTAAAATGACTTATTAATGATTGAGGTTTTCTGAACAAAAGTCCTCATTATTAAACATGTATAGACCATAAATCATTTAATGGTAAAATAATTTTGACACTGTGAACATATAATATTAACCACATTTATTATATGTAGTGTCCACCCCACATTTTTTGGTGGATAACATGGGTTAAAAATAATGTCAAATTAAAGACCTTAATCTTCTAGATTTTTATTGTAAAACATTATTTCCTAATTTTCAGGAGAATTACAGTGTACTGATACTAAAAATGAACAAATTCTGCTGTACCCTTGAAACCAATTAGATAACAAGCTATTGTTTCCCACTATTGTTCTCTCCTACGACATCGCAACCGGTTCATAAGTAGTTATTGACTCGGAACAATAAAATCGAGCTTAGTGTTCTTACCTGGCACCCTCTTTGCCCAGTTGATCATGTGAACCAGCTCCCTGTCTGCGAGGTTGGTCAGCAAGCCCATCATCGAAGCCTCACTGAAGGGTCTGGTAGGGTCATACTCAGAATAGATTATGGGGGGCTCAGCCTCCATCAAGGCACTGACCATCTGATCGGCTGTCAGGGATAAGGCAGGGCTGTTCTTCTTAGTGTGCTTAATCAAGAGAGGGCTTGGCCAAAGGCTGGCAGATCTCACGTCTCCAGAGGACCCAGCTTCGTTCCTACTCTCCCCATCATCTCTTTGGCGCTTGTGTTTCAACATTCTCCCTCCTCTTCGGTCTTTCCGTATCCCTGAGAACACAGGGGAAAAAAAAACAGTTTATTCTTTTTCTCGTGTCAACTTTCATACTGAAACCATCTTCAGTGCTAATAATTCTTTATTTTATTTAAAGAAATGCCTTGAGGCACAAGTATGCTGGTAAGTGTTTGACAACCAGCTGTCCAAGAAAAAAATTGTAAAAGCTTTGATTTGTAGCATTCACCAATTTCCATTGTGTAAATACTCCTACAACAGCAACTTTCAAGCTACTTGTCTAACATCAAACAGCTTACAAAACTCCTGAAAATTGAACAATAGGCTTTTGTGAGCCAGTATAGGTTGGTTCTGACAAACTGTGTGTGTGTGTGTGTGTGTGTGTGTGTGTGTGTGTAACATATGCTATATAAAGAACAGAAGTATAATTATCCTTGTAATATAGCTTAGCATCAAATGCTGCTTCTGTATGAATATTATTAATGACAAATTAATGCAACAAATAGCTGATTCTTTGAAAAGATTAATAAAATTGACAAACCTTTGGTTAGACTCACTAAGAAAAAAGAGAAAAGACCCAAACAAAATCAGAAATGAAAGAGAAGTTACCACAGACACCACAAAAATACAAAGGATCATATAAGAATACTATGGAAGACTATATGCCACCAAATTCAATAACCCAGAAGAAATGGATAAGTTCCTAGAAATATATAACCTTCCTAGAATGAGTCACAAAGAAATGGAAAATCTAAATAGACCAATCAACAGTGAGGAATTAAAACAACTATCAAAAAACCTCCCCAAAAAATAAAAGTCCAAGACCAGAGAGCTTCACTAGTGAATTCTACCAAACATTCAAAGAAGATTTAGTACCTATCCTTCTTAAATTCTTCCAAAAAATTGCAGAAGAAGCAACACTTCCTAACACACTTTCTGAGGCCAACATAACCCTGAAACCAAAATCTGGCAAAGATAACACACACACACACACACACACACACACACACACTACAGATCAATATTGCTGGTGAATACAGAGGCAAAAATCCTAAACAAAATACTAGCAAATCAAATATAATACATTAAAAAGATAGTATGCCTGGCCAGTGTGGCTCAGTGGTTGAGCATCGATCCATGCACCAAGAGGTCACTGATTTCGATTTCCGGTCAGGGCACATGCCCAGGTTGTGGGCCAAATCCCCAGTGGCGGCCAATCAATGTGCTCTCTCATCGATGTTTCTATCTCTCCCCCTCCCTTCCTCTCTCTCTAAAAATCAATAAAGAAAGGGAAAAAAGGCAAAGAGGTGAGATCCTCATTCCCAGCTCTAAAGGGATAACACATAACAATTAAGCAGGGTTCATTCCAGGGTTGCAAGGATGGTTCAACATACACAAATCAATTAATGTGATATACTACATGATTAGAAAAATCAACCTAGTTAAAATGGCTACATTACCCAAATTTAATTCAATTCTCATGATAATCCCAATGGTATTTTTAAAGATATAGAACAAAAAAATTATCATATTTGTATGAAACCACAAAAGACCCTGAGTAGCCAAAGCAGTCCTGAAAAAAGAATGAAACCGGAGGTATAACACTCCCTGACTTCAAATTAAATTACAAGACATATCTAAAAAGCATTTAGTAAATATCCTTATCATTTAAGAAGATCTCTTGTTTGAAGACACAGAAAAGGAATAACTTATCCAAAATATAACAGACAGCCTCTGGACCCCAGAGGTGCTCCATAAGTCTTTTATTGTTACTAAGCTACACTTTATCACCTTGGGAATTGACCCAGGACACTTAAGTAGTTTCCTTAGTTCTAAGAGTTTCACAAATAAGGGGAAAATGTACATTTCTCTTTTCCTATCATAAAAATTTTCAAATAGCTTAAAATAATTTCCCCCCAAAGGGTTGCCCAGCTGTGGTTCTCACTAACTAAATTATGTTGGGATAGAGGATGAGAGAACTCAATTTCTTGCTAATTTTTTGAGGTTTTGGCTCAGTGTCTTAGTCTGTAAAAAGCCACACTTCGGTGCTGAAATGTATCAGTCGAAACAAATATTTTTAAAAGACAAAAATTAACACAAGCTTCCATATTTTCAAAAACGTTAAGCTCTCCAAAATATGTTAGGAACCACAGTTCTCAAATTTATATGAAAGAAATCATCATTTTGGTAAAAAGTAATACAATTACTTTTAATCATAAAGACATGAGAAGTAAACACTCTTTATAATGCATCATCTGCTCTCTCATTCATAACAAATAAATAACTAATGTCAGAACTTTATTCTATTTTGCTCTAATTTGTCAAGGAATGTAGACAAATGTGTAACTGTAAAATTTTTATGCCTAACTTTTATTTTTGCAGGCTTACAGTAGATTTATTTGACAATACTTTGAAAATATAATGAATCCACAGATCCTTCCTATTGGCACAGTATTAAAATAAGCAGTTCTCAACGCTCTTTAAATAAGTCAAAATGGTAAAGATGATTATCACTAATATGCATTGAGCACTCCCCATATGCTTATATTTGAGCACTTTATATACACGTTCCATGTAAGCCCGTTACAGCCCAATTAGACCTCACAAGCATCCTGGGTAAATATTAAGAAACTGCTTCTCAGAGAGAGTGATGAACATGTCCAAGACCATTCTCTATTTAGCATCTAGTTCTGAAATGGAGATTCTTTTTTGTTTTTTTTAGTTAACAGTTTTAAATTTCTAGCTATTATCAACAAAGCTGAAGGGACACATAGAAGTAAAATAGGTCAGATGAGAAGAACGGTTGTATCTGACTCGTTCCATTGTTCTTAGATGGCCATCGTTCGACATTGGGCATTGCCAGATGTTCTATCTGAATTAAGGGAGATGGTAGTCACACTCTACACTCGGCTCATCAGCACACATCTGGAGTACCACACTCATTGCTGGATGTTGCCTATATAAGTAAAATAAATCTGTTTAGGTTAGAGTAACCAGGGTGGTGAGGAGACATGGAAGTGGGTCTCACAGAGATCGACTGCGGAACTAAGAGGGGTTAGCCTAGGGTAGAGAAGATTTAGAGAGAACGTGAGAGTCACTCTCAAATAGGCTGTCCTGTTGGAGCTATGGTCTTAATGTTTATATTCCTCCAAATTCATATGATGAAATCTAATCTCTAAAGTAATGTATTTGAAATGGGACCTTTGGGAGCAATTAAGTCATGGGTGTAGAGCCCTCCGGAATGGAATTAGTGCCCTTTCATGGAGAGGCCAGAGAGGTCGCTAGCTCCCTCTGCCATGTGAGGACACAAGAAAGCAGCTGTCTGCAGGCCCTGCAGACCCTCACCAGACTCCAGGTCTGCACCTTGATCTTGAACTTCCTAACCCCCAGAACTGTAAGAAATAAAGGTGTTTAAGCCACCCAGTCGAGGACATCTCTGTTATAGCAGCCCAAACTGACCTAGAGAGATGGATTCATCTTGCTCTTTATGAGCCCGAACGGTAAAAGGGGAGAAATATGTGAAAACTGTGAGCAGTTAGAATTCAATATAAGGAAGCAGTTTTTAATAGTCAAAGCTGACCACACAGGTAGAATCTGCTGCCACAGGAAATGAAGCTTCAGATCACCGGCAATTTTCAAGAATAAGCTAGAGAAAGCTTGAAGGGATTCAATTACCCGGTAAGCATTTGCACTATGTGACCTTCACTATACCATCCATCCTCAAATTGGATGATTCTATGATTATCTATTTGGAATGTAATACCAGAAGCCTTGGGATGGGGGGGGAAAAAACAGGAAAAGAAGATTAAAAACAAAGAATCCCTTTAGGTTCACATTTCTTAGGAAGTTTTGAGGTTAGAATTTTGAGAGACTATATTCTGATCGCTATTTACCCACTTTGGGTTGGGACTGGGGTTTTAAAAAATGGATTATTCTTTAGTAATAGTCAGTGTGTTGCTCAAATAGTGTTTATTCCCCCTACTGTACAACTTTACAGAGGTTGAAAACGTGAACAGATCACACAGGAAAGCTGCATCAGCAATAAAATCTTTTTACATCAGATCTACGTGGGAAGATAAAGCAAGTGGTCTGACTAAAGAAGAAATGGTTAAAGCAGTATTATTTCCCTAAGATAAAATCAGGGTTACCTGATCACGTCTCCACAAAAGCATTTTAGTTTTAAAAAATAAAGTCTATGCTTTCTGTTGTAAATGTAACTTACCTTCATTTTAAAAGGTTTCCAAGATAAAGACAGATAGAAAGTTAATGAAACAAAACAAAACATAGTATTACCACCAATGTTAAAAGGTCTCAGCAGTCATACTACAGACCATCAATTTCCAGAGAAAGAATTTTAGACTCAATTCAGGTACTAGTAGTGGGAGTTATCGAATCTGCTTATTAAAGTATTTGTTCATTTGGTAAAAAATTGTTCAATACTTACAATGTACAGATGATACAGTGATGAACAAAGACGGATCATATTATCCTACATCAAGTTTTCAGCTTGGAGGGAGAAAGACCAAACTTATTCAGTATCCACTGAATGAACGAATGAATGAAATGTCCATAACACAATGGAAGGGATGAGTAATACAAGAAGGGGGAGACAAAAAAATCTTCTCTAAGAGATGAAGTTACATTTTAGACAAATAAACAGCATTTCCTTTCTTGGAGAAGTTTGTAAGTAGACTAATACTCAAATCATTTAGGTGTAGTACTACTTAAAGCAGCGAGTTGAACCACCAGACCTCTTTGAGTCTCACAAATATGTGATTCAAGTTGTTGAACACAAAACAAAAAAATGACCACAGATTTGGGATGTAGAACAAAAAAATGCAACTGGAGAGATCAAAGAGAGAATTGAATATTTATAAAATTATCAAACAGTCAAATAGGCAAAGGTAGATTCAATTAGCATTAACAAATATTTTCTGTAATTTAACCCCCAAAATACTGTATTTTTCAAATACCAAAGTCCCTACAAAATGTACAAACAGAAGAAAAATATAAAATGGTACATATTGTCAGCTACACA